CTGACGGAGCGGGGTCAGCGGATGCTGACGCGCATAGTGCGAAGAGGTCGCCAACTTTCTGCAGAGTCAATCACTACAGACCTCCAAACTTCATGTGGCCTTCAGATTAGCTCAAGAACAGTGCGCAGAGAGCTTCATGGAATGGGTTTCCATGGTCGAGCAGCTGCATCCAAGCCATACATCACCAAGTGCAATGCAAAGCGTCGGATGCGGTGGTGTAAAGCACGCCGCCACTGGACTCTAGAGCAGTGGAGACGCGTTCTCTGGAGTGACGAATCGCGCTTCTCCATCTGGCAATCTGATGGACGGGTCTGGGTTTGGCGGTTGCCAGGAGAACGGTACTTGTCTGACTGCATTGTGCCAAGTGTAAAGTTTGGTGGAGGGGGGATTATGGTGTGAGGTTGTTTTTCAGGAGCTGGGCTTGGCCCCTTAGTTCCAGTGAAAGGAACTCTGAATGCTTCAGCATACCAAGACATTTTGGACAATTCCATGCTCCCAACTTTGTGGGAACAGTTTGGAGCTGGCCCCTTCCTCTTCCAACATGACTGTGCACCAGTGCACAAAGCAAGGTCCATAAAGACATGGATGACAGAGTCTGGTGTGGATGAACTTGACTGGCCTGCACAGAGTCCTGACCTCAACCCGATAGAACACCTTTGGGATGAATTAGAGCGGAGACTGAGAGCCAGGCCTTCTCGTCCAACATCAGTGTGCGACCTCACAAATGCGCTTCTGGAAGAATGGTCAAAAATTCCCATAAACACACTCCTAAACCTTGTGGACAGCCTTCCCAGAAGAGTTGAAGCTGTTCTAGCTGCAAAGGGTGGACCGACGTCATATTGAACCCTATGGATTAGGAACGGGGTGTCATTTAAGCTCATATGTGAGTCAAGGCAGGTGAGCAAATACTTTTGGCAATATAGTGTATCTATATCTCTAGACTACCGGTATGTCTGTTATCGCCCTCTCCATCTCTCACAAAACAGAGTCTGTATGTATGTGTACTTGTTTATGCTATCTACTTTAAATACATTTGTGAACACGTTTATTTCGGTTATTAACATGCTCAAGCCAGAACATTTACACATCTATATTTTTTAATTTCACCGAATAGATATAGACTGAAGCCAAGGCTTAAGATGCCTATCCTGCTTACAAGTCTAGTCAACCATTCAACAAAACACTGACTTAAGTTGTTACAACAAAATAGATCATATGTTAACAAAACAGCTTATCTTAAACATCTAAATTATGTTTAACAATATCTCTGATTCAATACAATCCGCTAGTTCTAAAAATATGTCGGATAAATAAAAAAATCATTGACGCAGCTCAAAGGGAAACCATCCATCAGCCGCTGTGGTTGTCTCCTCCTACGTCCGCAGCACATATACATAAAGGCCAACAGCCTCAGTCGGTCGCCATTTTTCTCTTTGTTACTGAACAGAGACAGTCAGAATGAGCGGCAGAGGAAAGGGAGGTAAGGGACTCGGTAAAGGAGGCGCTAAGCGTCACCGTAAAGTTCTCCGTGATAACATCCAGGGAATCACTAAGCCCGCTATCCGCCGTCTGGCTCGCCGCGGTGGAGTTAAGCGCATCTCCGGTCTCATCTACGAGGAGACCCGCGGTGTGTTGAAGGTCTTCCTGGAGAACGTCATCCGGGACGCCGTCACCTACACCGAGCACGCTAAGAGGAAGACAGTGACCGCCATGGATGTGGTGTACGCTCTGAAGAGGCAGGGCCGCACCCTGTACGGCTTTGGAGGTTAAACAGAGCCGCTTCTCTAAACTAAACAAAGGTCCTTTTCAGGGCCGCCAACCTGCTGGTTAAGAACACGATTCCCACTAAAAGTGTCTACAAAACAAGATTAAAGGGGCTTAAAAAGGTTAACAATTTTTAAGCAGTTTTATTTGAATTGTCAACTTTAGCAACTACAGTATGACATATTTTCTGTATGGACAGGTTTTGGCTCTAATCAGAGCTGATTATAGCCATCCAATTCCCTTCAAGGTGACTATTCATAAGGGAAATGTCAAAAACAAAATTCTACCAATCAGCAATCATGTCAAATGTACAGTTTGGTGCACTGCAAATCATAATACAGATATACTGTTAATATTTGTACTCTTCAGTATTGCATATTTTTCTGGCTGGACAGAATTTAAACTTTATAGATATTAGCTGTTTTTTTTTTATTTGTATGCATTGTTTTTGAGTCATTTATCAATAAAGCACTAAAAACCAATAACAGTGTATGGTGGTACCCTTGTGTTCTCAACTAGGGTAGCATTCAGTAAACTTTTGTGCTTAATTTTGAAACGTGTTTGGATTGAATAACGGTAGGTCCATCAGCCACTGTTTGAGCATCCCCACAAACTTTTTTTTTAACCAGTTTTATTTGAATTGTCACTTTTAGCAACTACTGTACGAAATACATTTTCTGTCTGGACAGGTTTTGGCTCTACTCAAAGCTGATTATAGCCATCAAAGTCCCTTCAAGGTGACTTTTCATAAATCAATCAGCAATTATCTCAAATGTGTACAGTTTGGATGTTGGCAAATCATAATATGCACAGAATTTTTAATATTTGTACTTTTCAGCATTATTTTTCTGGAAGGACAGAATTTAAATTGTTTTTATATATACTAGGGATGCCTATGAGGTGCCCCCAGGGACATAAATCAGAATTAACTTGCATATACACATATTAAATTACACTCTTCCATATAATATACTGAAAACCTCACACAAACACTAGTAAAAAGCTCTCACATAAACTAGTGAAAACATTGACCTCTTATATAATCTACTCAAAAGCTCTCATACAAAGTAGTGAGAACTGTTCATATAAACTGGTGAAAAGCTTTACCTTTCATACACACTACTAGAAAGCTTTCATATACACTATTAAAAAGCTCTCATATACACTACTAGAACGCTCTCATATACACTATTAGAAAGCTCTCATATACACTATTAGAAAGCTCTCATATACACTATTAGAACGCTCTCATATACACTACTAGAAGCTCTCATATACACTATTAGATCGCTCTCATAAACACTATTAGAACGCTCTCATATACACTATTAGAAAGCTCTCATATACACTATTAGAACGCTCTCATATACACTATTAGAACGCTCTCATATACACTATTAGAATGCTCTCATAAACACTATTAGAATGCTCTCATATACACTATTAGAACGCTCTCATAAACACTATTAGAACGCTCTCATATACACTATTAGAATGCTCTCATATACACTATTAGAATGCTCTCATAAACACTATTAGAATGCTCTCATATACACTATTAGAACGCTCTCATACACACTATTAGAAAGCTAAAATATATGGTCCCCCTCCTTTAATTTAGGCAAACATTGCTCAAATATCACCGAATCCAGATGGTTTGTTGTTGATGAAGAGAGGAATAAACACAGTTTAAGATTTGCAGCTAAATTAATTTGTTTCTATATTATGGAACTGCTATCAGGCACTTCCCATCATCTTATATCAATAATAAAAAATTATAAATACAAATTTGGTATTTGGTGACTTGACTTTTATTTCTGTCAGGCTGAAGTGAAAAAACTTGGAAAGAGACTGATTCTCTTGGCGTTTAAAATAACAACACAAAACAGCATAAGAAAACCGCATTTATTCTTTTTATTTTACAATTTTGTAAACAACAGCGGCTGATTAAACTAAATGTCTCAACCTTGTATAATTTTACGACTTTTAATTTAACCAAGAAATGATCCGAAAGGCCTGGGAAATGATCAGATCCGCTTATGTGGCTGCAATGCGCGGCGCGCTCCCGACACAGGTGGAACAGATTTTCACATGGGAACAGAATTTCGCACAACACCGGAAAAGGATCTCTGTTGAAGCAAAAACATAAAAAATAAAGTCGAGTAATGCCCATGCTTCTGTGAGTTGTTTAGCGGATAGCTGAGCATGAATCAATAATTTTATTTGATACAATTTCGGCCGGAGATAGCACAAAATGTACGGAGCTAGCCAGAATGACCTCCGTTCAAAACAACTTCCGGTGTAATGACGGTCCTTCCTGTTTCACTGAAACACCTTCCGTTTCAACTGAAACACCTTCCGTTTCAACTGAAATCCGCTAATAGCTTTTCAGTAGTGTGTATGAGAGCTTTCTAGTAGCGTGTATGAGAGCATTCTAATAGTGTTTATGAGAGCTTTCTAGTAGCGTGTATGAGAGCATTCTAATAGTGTTTATGAGAGCTTTCTAATAGTGTATATGAGAGCTTTCTAATAGTGTATATGAGAGCGTTCTAATAGTGTATATGAGAGCGTTCTAATAGTGTTTATGAGAGCATTCTAATAGTGTATATGAGAGCATTCTAATAGTGTATATGAGAGCGTTCTAATAGTGTTTATGAGAGCGTTCTAATAGTGTATATGAGAGCGTTCTAATAGTGTATATGAGAGCGTTCTAATAGTGTTTATGAGAGCGTTCTAATAGTGTATATGAGAGCGTTCTAATAGTGTTTATGAGAGCGTTCTAATAGTGTATATGAGAGCTTTCTAATAGTGTATATGAGAGCTTTTTAATAGTGTATATGAAAGCTTTCTAGTAGTGTGTATGAAAGGTAAAGCTTTTCACCAGTTTATATGAACAGTTCTCACTACTTTGTATGAGAGCTTTTGAGTAGATTATATAAGAGGTAAATGTTTTCACTAGTTTATGTGAGAGCTTTTTACCAGTGTTTGTGTGAGGTTTTCAGTATATTATATGGAAGAGTGTAATTTAATATGTGTATATGCAAGTTAATTCTGATTTATGTCCCTGGGGGCACCTCATAGATGCCTGTCTTTTTTATACATTGTTTTGAGTCTAGTGATGGGTCGGGCAACACCGATGCGTCGGCGCATGTGTCTTTGTCATAGAGCGAAACCTGTGTCGACGTGTGTATCGCTACGGAAAAGTCACGTGACCGAAACAGTTCCTGTATACCGATGTTTCGAACTGATTGACAAGCCTTTATAAGGATGCGCATCTGCCAAAACAATCTTGCGTGTTTTGCGAATATAAAATTCATCAAAAATTATGGAGCTTCCTCAAGCAAAAAGAAAGGTTTCTGCCGTGTGGGACCACTTTGATGTCATTTCGGAAAATAAGGTATTTGTTTTAATTTCTTTGTTCATCCTGTTCCTCTCAGAGTTTCCACTTGATTCATGTACTAAAATACTATTTTTTTTTTTTTAAGATGACCTTTGGGAACATTTTGATCTCGAAGTGGGGAGGCAGACCAAAAGTGCCACAGCTGATGCCATCCTTGAGGTGCAGAGATACATGGCAGAGGGAAATATTGCGAGGTCCCAGGATCCTCTTGTATTTTGGAAAAACTAAAGGACGGTTTATCCAAACCTCTTCCGCCTGGCCTTAAAATTTTTGTGCACTCCAGCTTCATCTGTGCCGTGTGAGCGGGTGTTTTCCACAGCTGGAGAACTAATATCAAAAAAGCGCAACAGACTGAATTTCAAAACTTATTTTTTTTAATAAAAATTTGTAAAAAAAAAAAAAAAATATCAGTGAATAAGCATCTTCATTTACTACATGTTTACTTAGACTTAGACTTAGACTTGACTTTATTAATCCCTTGGGATTACTCCCTTCGGGAAATTGTATTTCCAGTAGCAGGAAAAATTGCACATACAAGAAAATAGAGGATGTTTAGACACAGTTTATACAATAGAAAAATAAAATCAATTAAATAAGGTGTAGGAAGATGTATTGGGGGATGAGGATAGACAAATAAATACAGATTAGAGATTATTAAATTATGATGCAGGTTCTCATTATTCATTGACTGTTTCTAAAATATCAAATATGTTTTAATAATAATACAATGCATCATACAATGAATTGCATCATATTAGTGTATTTAATAGGTCATCAAATCAGTGTCAGTTAACTCTGTCAACTAGGTTGCCTGTAGGGATTTTTAATGTCCAGCAGGTGTCAGTATTCAGTGACACAGTATCGACACAGTATCAATACAGTTTGGTAATGTGTCGAAACGTTTCATGACGCCTCATCAACCCATCACTATTTGAGTCCTTTATCAATAAAGCAATAAATGGCATCTAACTACCTATAAATAGCCATGTATTGTGGTACCCTTGTGTTCTCAACTAGGGAAGTGTTCAGTAAATTTTTACGCTCATTTTTGAAACTTAATGAAAGTGTTTGGATTGAATAACTGTAGGCCCATTAGCCACCACCGTTAGAGCGTCCCCACAAACTTTCATCACAAAGTTACACTCTTGGTTGAAATGAGGAGTCGTGAAGGTTAAGACTCAAGAGGTTATGCTTAAAAATATGTTGGGAGCGTTTAATGAAAACTGTTTTACTGAAGATTAGAATAGGAACAGATCAAATTTCAAAATACAGATGACAAACATGTATAACATCAACACTTCTAGGTCAAAGTTAGATAAGTAAAGCATAATTAAATATCTTAGATTTCAAAAGAAGTTGTTCTTTCCCCCTTTCTCTGGCTGACTGAGAGACCGATGGGCCTGCTGCATTCCAGTCTGATTAAACAACACCTTACTTATTCAAAGCCCAGAGGAAAAGAAGCACACAAGGCCCTGAGCTTGCCTCTATCTTTTCTCTTTGCATAGATTTGCACAAACCTACAGGGATTATTAAAGTTAAAGTGGACTTACAAAACTTTAGCTTCTGATGGAGAAAATATGATGTTTTCCAGATGAGATGCTGTTAATAGAAACATCATTCGACAAATAGAACTGATATGTGTGCAACTCAATTCTATTGTTTATGAACATCGATTAGGAAACATAACATCCTTAAGAGGGATTATTCCTAGCTATAAGTTTGGAGCCAGATAATATCTGGCAATAGGATAAATAAATTAAAAAAGGACACAAGGTCCAAAAGATGAAGATGAGAATGTGTGGGGCTACTCACATTTTGAACAAAGCCGATAGCATTAAAGGTTGCTCTTAAGCTATCACCTTCAATGTCAGCATGGATGTTAAAACCCCCCACTATGATGAGCCTGTCAGTATTTAACACCAAATCAGATAGGAACTCTGAAAACTCGTCTAAAACTTCAGAGTAAGGACCTGGTGGACGATACAAAGTTACAAAAAGTAGAGGTTTTCTTGCTTTGCAATTCGGATGAGGGAAACTAAGGGTTAAACGTTCAAAAGAGTTGTAATTATTAATAAAGTTCTCTCCTGTTTTTGCTATTTTAGCAGATAAGATAATTGTGTTTTCCTTCATGTTTCTTTAAGAATGGTAAAATTAACTGTTTTGTTTGCTATTTTGGCCTGAGGCCCAATCTGAAGTCCTAAAACTACTTTACATGTTTTATTTCTTTATTATCGAAACGTTGATTCTCTGGGAACTGAATTTTACAAATTACTTGAGTATATTTGGAAATTATAAAAGTAACAAGACTGATCATACAGAGAGGACAATCCAAGAAACATTGGGATGCAAATACAACAATTTATTTTAATTTAAACTTTAAATCCAGAAACCGGACTCACAAAAACAATTAACAGTAATAATGCTATGGATGACATAGATATGTCAATAGTTACATCAGGGGTCTGCAACCTGCGGCTCCAGAGCCACATATGGCTCTTTGAAACCTCTCCAGCGGCTCTTAATATAGGCTAAAATGTATATAAAGAGCTAAATAATTTACTATAATATATACCGGTAACAATAGCTTTAGCGTTTTTTATAATATGGAAAAGAATGAGATTAAAAGAACCAGAAATATGTTTTAAGAGACATTTTTCTATGAATTAGCTTGAAAATGATACGTTTAAACATTAAAAATATATGAATTGATTGTTTGAGATAGCAACAACTAATTTCCTATACAAGATAAAAAAAAACAGGTTTTCTAGAAAAAGTCATGGTATATTTTGCGGCTCTAAATAACTTTTATTTGGTTGTACTCTGGGCAAAACGGCTCTTTGGATATGAAAGGTTGCAGACCCCTGGGTTACATCCATAGATTCGGTTTCAAAATACTGGTCATTTTTTTCTGCCGCAGCAGAGCTGCGGGTCCTGGTTGGGTAGCGGCTCCTTCTGGAGCTCAGCGCCGCCCAGAGGAGGCAGCGCCCCGCTGAATCCTCGCTACTGATTGGAGGAAGCTGCTTTGAAAAAGCCCGCCTCTGCTGAAAGCTTCTCTGATTGGTTGTCAGCAGCAGCAGCAGCAGTCTGCCGCTCTCTGCAGGGATATAAAGCAGCTCAGGGTTCCTGCTGGAGCATTTTTCTAGTAACGTGTCTCTAGAAAGCATCTGTAACAATGAGCGGCCGCGGAAAGACCGGAGGAAAAGCCAGAGCTAAGGCCAAGAGCCGCTCCTCCAGAGCCGGGCTCCAGTTCCCAGTGGGCCGTGTTCACAGGCTGCTGCGCAAAGGCAACTATGGGGAGAGAGTCGGTGCCGGAGCCCCCGTCTACCTGGCTGCTGTGCTGGAGTATCTGACCGCTGAGATCCTGGAGCTGGCTGGAAACGCTGCCCGCGACAACAAGAAGACCCGCATCATCCCCCGTCACCTGCAGCTGGCTGTCCGCAACGACGAGGAGCTCAACAAGCTGCTGGGCGGAGTCACCATCGCTCAGGGCGGCGTGCTGCCCAACATCCAGGCGGTGCTGCTGCCCAAGAAGACCGAGAAGGCCGCTAAGGCCAAGTAAAGCCACCAAGCCGCTGCTGCTGCTGCTGGACACAGCCCCACAACGGCTCTTTTAAGAGCCACACACAAAACTTTAAGAGCTGAAATTCTCCATGCTGCCTTAATCAGTACATTACACATCATTATCAAATGGGATGCTGTAGGGTCTCAGAAAATTGGAGGGAAAAACTGAAAAGTAATTATTTTTACAGTAAAGCAGTTAACAATATTGACAGAGCAACCCTATCATGTTTTGCCATCCAGCAGACAAGAGTTTCCTCAAAAAGAAGTCAATTTATTATCAAAGTGTTGCAGACTTTCTTTTATATATACGTATGAATCTAAAAGAAAACTCCTGCATTAATACATTTTCATCATTCACAAATGTAAATTTGAAGATTAAACTGAAATACTAAGATTGAGAAATAATATAAAATGCCACACATGCATTCAATAACTGTTTATGGTTTAATGCATCACTTATATTAACCTGTTAGTTTGATAAAATAACATGAGAAAACAAAATATTGCAGGTCCTGAACCATATCCAACATGTCATTAAACGATTCAGCATGATTTTTATGTACCTTAGAAAATATCTATGATGCTATTCTGAGGGAGAAACAATTAATGTAATTAGAAGACAATTCTGACTGCTTTACATTATATGAAAGGATCAGATCATCAGCGGTATCTCTAAAATAGTAAAATATATAGAGCATTATTCTTTCCTGCTTGTTTCCCGCCTTTCTTTCCCCTCTGTTGTCCCACTGAGCGCAACGTTTGAAAAAGTCACGTGGTTTGTTCTCCAGCTCCACCCAGACTGAGCGGCTCATCGTTAACATATTTAAAATGAAAAAGCATTTTCAGATTCTTAAAATGAAAAAGCATTTCTGCAAATGGTTTTTCAATTTTAAGAATGTCGCTGCACTGTTTGACTCATAAATGAAATTAGTAATCAATAATCCTGTTTGCATTTTTTTATTTTCTTCTTCAAGACTGCTCATCCTTTTACTTAATTTAAATGAAAAAGGAAAAGACATTTGAGATTTATTTTTTCAAAATGTACCCCAGCAAATACATACAAAAATTCTATTTAAAATTAAAAATTTGCAAATGAAAAAGCATTTCCAGAAATGCTATTTCATTTTAAGAATGTGGCTCATAAATGTGATTCATAAAATAAATTAGTAAACAATCATCCTATTTGCATTCTCTTCTTTAAGACTGCACAATTTATGCCATAATCAAAGAGAAAACACATCGGACAAACGAAAAAGCATGAGTTTTCTCTACTAATAGCTTATTTTGTCCTGTATTTTGCTTGCATGTTGTATTTTTTATTTTATTTTTTTGGTAATACAGGCAGGTGAGCAACTGTTTGAGGATAGACAAATGTGTCTTCCAATGTTTTAAAACTGAGAAAGCTTCATCAGAACCAATATAATTACTCATTGAGAATTTCCTGACAAACAGGTGTCAAGAAATCGGTCATAGCTCTTAATTTAGTTTACCACAGTATATGGTATAGAGGACCATTGTAATGATAAGCTAATTTGCCTATGAAATGGTAAATGGTAAATGGCATGTACTTATATAGCGCCTTTATTCAAGTTAGGAGACTTGACCAAAGCGCTTTACACTACATTCATTCACCCATTCACACACACACTCACACACTGATGGTGGCAAGCTACATTGTAGCCACAGCTGCCCTGGGGCTCACTGACAGAAGCGAGGTTGCCGTACACTGGCGCCACCGGGCCCTCTAACCACCATCAGTAGACAATGCAGGTGAAGTGTCTTGCCCAAGGACACAACGACAATGAAAGTCGGAGTCGGGGCTTGAACCGTCAACCCTCCGATTA